CATTCTCTGGTTGTGTGCTGCATCTACTGAATTATAAAAATATAGAAATCTCAAATAACATATTAAGCCCTATATTAGTTCACGTATCATAATTGTCCCACATTGTGTGCCCTACATGTCAAGTGGATCTCGACCCAAAATTGAACAAGTAATTCCCTTAGCGGGGGGCATGAGCAAGTTTAACTTGTCCTGCTTGTCAACAGGATTTAAACCCATGCACCAACTTCCGACTATAAAATCCCAACAAAGGGGTTGGAACATACTGACACGAATTTACCTCCTTCCATCACGCACAAAATGTAATGCCAATGTTAAATCTGCGCCTTACATGTTTGAGGAGACTTTTATTTGGAGCAAAAGACATAATTACGACGATTACACCCATCGCCGAAACAAGTACCATATTCTTGTTCAAAGGCGGGATTATCCGTTCCAGACGTGGAATTTGGAAATGAATAAACTCGTACTTTACAGCGAGAAGTTGGAAATCTTGGTTTGGCAGGTGGCTGAAATGCAGAATAAACCGGGGAAGCTTAAAATCATAACAACGTTCTTTGTATGAAAGTATTGCGAGACTTACTTTCGCTCCTTACGGCCAGGTATGAGTTATCCGATGTCTCTAGCCAAAATTGAATCCAACACATCACACTTGAACACGCTCGATTATAATTTCCCCGTCCGTGTGTTTCTTCTGAATGGGCAGAAAGCAAATATCCCCATGATTAAAGCTCCGAAATTTTGGGAGGTGAAAACTCGTAAATTAAACGTTGGTCAAATTTTTGTGCATATATTACTTGACAAAAGGAACACCAGTAGATCCATTACTGTCGAAAGGCATCGGAGGGATTTCATTCCAATTAATGCCAAATTGCGATGACATATTCCGACAGGATACAAATTCATCGTTTTGCGACCGGACGGAGGGTACAATTCCGTCATTTGTTCTCAACTCCAAAGCATGCGTCAAGTTTGCCTTGCGGAACAAACTTGTCACATTTTTTACCAGCGGGGATAGACTTTACACAAGAATTTCAATGCACACAATTCTTTATGTCTACGATATCTCGACATGGTTTGGAATCATCCTCTCAGCCACAATTATTCTTTTAATCGTGATTTGTGTAACGCGGAAAAAAATGCATAACGTGTCGGAAGATTTGTTCATGGGAATGGCAATACTACTTGAACAGGGAACACATATTTCCGCCTACGGATCGCGTAAAGTGTATTTTTTCATTCTATTAGGCCCTTGGTTGCTAATGTATCTCATCATAACCAACGCATTTAGAGGGGATAACATCACAAATATCTTTGAGACCGGCGCCAATTCAAACATTTGAACAGTTAGTTAAACTCAATCGCACAGCATACTGCGATCTTAAGATGGTAACTTATCCGGTCCCAAGTTATGGAAGTGAGTATGGCATCATCATCCTGGTCGGCAACAAGTAGGAGGAGGAGGATCTCTCGCTTTCCCCAACCAAACAAAACCAAACACAACTTCTTGTTCGCATCCCCGCATAATTAATTCAATTGATGATCACTCTCGGATTTTGCATACATACTTTCAGTTCAGCCTCGTCTATCCGAGTTGGTGGCTTGGGTGACACAGTGAAAGCAGGGACGGGACATCCTCACCCACTCACTCACTCATTGGCGACGGTCAGGCAGACAGATTGATGGAGGGTTGGAAGTGACAGGCGGATGGTGGTGGGACGGGGCGTGTGGACAGGGTGCATGTAAAAATGGTAAAGATAGGAGAAAGTAGGTGGTGGTGGTGATGGTTGTATTGGATAAGTTGCGTGTATGAGATGATGATGGTTGTTTGGGTTTGGCTGAGGAAGAAGAAGAAGAAAGCGAAAGGAAGAAGGTATGCGAAAATCAAATCGATGAAGAACAGAAGAGTTGAAGGAAGAAGAAGAAGAAGGATGGTGGTAGTGGTTGTGGGAGCTGGCTGCGCTGAAGACGATCCTGTCTGAACGTCTTCAGCGCATGTTGGGCAAGTCGATCAGCCAAGATATAGCGATCGATTTTTTCGGGAGCAGCCAGATTCGTCGATTTTCTTGTCCCTTCGGAGCTGTTTTTTTCAAAGTGTTTTGTATTCATCGTCTATAACGAATAAAAGACATGCATCCTTGCCCCGAGAACTACGTATTCATTTTGTGAGGACACGCAAAGGAACGTTCGCCACCCGCAAGCAACTTTCAAGTTTAAGTGAATTTGAAATAAAGGATCGCGTTTTTCTAGGGTGGTCAGATGATCTGAAGGAATTGTTTTCCTTGGCAAAGACAAAATTTCCTAAATTAGTGTGGCACATGGGGAAAGAGCACTTGACCATGATAACTTAGTAGAATCAATGGTATCTTGCAGTCTGGGATCCCAGACAAATGGATATGGTGGACACTTTTGAGCGGCTTCGTATTGGAAATTCGACTTCTCAAATACAATCTAATTTAAGCAAAAGGGTTAAATTTAACGGAAAATATGTCGGAACTTTTCATTTATTTCATATATTTTTCATGTATTTTAAAATTAATTTTAGTTCTGGAATTTGCCCCTACTGTAACGATGAAATTTTTATAAGAAGGTTTATAGTTTTTCGTACAGCTATTTTATACAGCTATAAAATGGATCAGCTTCTATATGCGAGTCTTATATCTGTATGCAAGTGGTCAAAATTTAAAATTTGAGCAATTAATTTTATTTGCTCGCATGAAAGTGAAAATTATAGCAATTGAATGAAAACGAAACCGCTTACAATTTAGATAAATAAGGTCTGTTTCATAAGTCGTGGCACTGTACGAAAATTGAGCTCATTTCAAAACGGAGTGTGAGAATTTGAACAGATTAGTCAATAATTATAGAAAATATGATTAAACACTCAGAACCATACGCGATTTGAACGATCAATACTTTTGAACCCACTTTCACCTCAATTATTCAAAGCATGTTTCATGACGCCTTTTCACGAGATTGCCACCACACGCTTCAGAATTTTACCCATGACACGTCTAAATCCCGACCGGTTTTTGGGTGGTTGAGGTCGCCTTGGGTATCCTCTTTTGCAGAGTACCCACAATCTTTCAATACCTCTTGGTTGTAGTACAGTGTTAGCTTGTTGGAAAATGGTCACAAAATCGACTTTCTCATCTGTTAAATGGCTCGTAAAGATGCAAACTTAGTGGAAAGTCACCATATCTGGCCAAAATAAGACATTAGTTATTTGATAACAATTTCAAATCCTGATTAATCGATTTTTACTGCATTGCTAAAAATTAAGTTCAGACATCATACTTTTATCCGCAACATGGGTTCCCAAATTTAACAATTTGTATCTATTTCCGACCAAAAGAGGACTTTTTTTGGTAAACTTCGATATCAGCATGATTTCTGGAGAAGACACTACAGTCCTACACTAGATGCTTTGAATAATTGCTGTGTAGCGATGTCACTTTGGACTAACGGGATGTCACTAATAACCGGAATTTTGAAAGCTTTTTCTTACGTCGTGCAGTTTTGGGTCTTGACTTTTGACCTTTACCATATTTTGGTGCCTTAGTTTGCTTGAAACTTTTCATTTACAACAGTTAAATTTTAATACGGTCAACCGTTGTTGGGTGTCACTTTAATCTGCTTGCAGCTGGACGCTCGGACCCGGAAGGTTTCGTAATAAACGTTCCTCAACCCCTCACTGCATTTGAGGGGTTGACTGATAAACTGGACGACTGGAACTTTTTTCTTACAATGCGATGGTGTGAAGTGCAACTCTCCGATTTGGTTGAAATTTTGTAATTACGTGGTTCAAGTCAATACAACCAACGTTTCTTGAGGCAGTTTGTACGATGGTTGGAATTTGTCGAAATATTTGAGGTCAAAGTTCAAAGACGATTTTTCCCTTTGAAATGAATGGAAGTGGAGTTTGATTCCTCCGCTTGGTAAAACTCGCCAGTTTTTTCAACTTTGACCTCAAATATTTTGGCAAATTCGCACCATCGCACAAACTGGCTCAAGAAACGCTGGTTGTAAACCAGCTTTTGTATAGGTTGTATAGGTATAGGTTGTATAGAAACGCTCACACTGTACCACAACTAAAAGCTGTCGAAAGATTACGGGCAATTTGCAAAAGTGGACACCCGAGGTTACCTAAATCACACAAAAGCCAGTCGGAATTTTGACGTGACATGGGTCAAATTCTGACGAGTGTGGCGGGAAAGTCGTGAAAAGCCGTCATGAAGCATGCTTTGAAAAATTGACGTGAAATTGGTTACAAAACTATTGATCGTTCAATCCGCATATGGTTTTGAGTGTTAAATCGTATTTCCTATAATTATTAACTAATCCATTCAAATTCTTACATTCTGTTCTGAAATGAGCTAAATTTTCATGCAGTGCCACGACTTATGAAGCAGACCTTACCTTTCTACATTAATATTTATTTATATACCTCAGGGTTTCTTGTGAAGAATGCACTCTGCAAACCGTTTATGTATTATTGCCTTATTTGCAGTCGCCGTTTTGTGCAAATAATGCAAACAATGAAAATTTGCTTTCAAGAAATTACTAGAACCAGAGGAATTACATGTGTTTGAGGAAATTAGCGACAAGAATGCTGAAATAATTAATTAACCAATATGGATTGAGATTGTGGATTTCCTGAGAGTTCGCTAAAACCTGGTGGTCACACGTGGTGTGAGCTGATATGCTTAACAGTACCATAATAAAATTGCTTTTTGAATTTGTACTTAATGTTCAAATTATTATTTATTTATGTGATGAACCACGGGTGTGGTTCACCAGCAATGACCCCATATCATCGGCTATGATGTGGATGAAGAGACGAGGTGTGTATGAGATGAGACTGTTGGATCTCCACACTGATTTCTACCCGAAAACCAGGAAAATCCGAGAAAAGGGCCTTGGTTGTGATTAAATGTTAAGAGGTTGCGAAATGAGCACTTGTAGTCGCCGGTGGTGCCGAAATAAACGATAATAAGTCAAAATTATTTCCTCCTGGCAGGACACTACTTTATTTTAAATCACTCAAATGCAATTTTAACTTAACAAGACAATGACAATTTAATCACTAAGAAGAGCCTAAAAAACGTAACTTGCTACTTCAAAGTCTGAGTAAAGAGTAAAATAAAAACGTTGGCTGTGCACGTACGCAGTAAATTCACACAAAGAAAATGTGCCAGCGGGAACTATAAATAAAGAGTGGGGACTAAATCTTAAATTACCCCACATTCCAAAGAATTACTATAGTTATCAAAAATTACTTAAAATTAAGAAATCAATATCTTTCGAAATCCAACAGAGACGATCTGTGTATCGTCGTCGTCGTTGTGTTGTGAGGCGAGATGCTAATAATTGGGAGGCGAGATGAGACTTGCACTTTTTGGAGAGGTTTTATTACACAGTATAAACAAAAGGCAGAAACGACTAACCTCTCCCAATATCATTGGGAGAGACAAAATGCAGCTGCAGCAAGACTTGTGTGGATTCGCCGTAGACTCGATGTAGACGAGCTCACTACACGGCCTTTTTATACCGTTGCTATACCTATCTATGTGCTACTTATTAGTTGACCGGTTATTGGATACAATAAAGAATAAGAGAACTACCTCCTGCATAAATTATAACTACCTGAGACCAGTCGTGGGACCAGTCATCAGATTAGTTCATTCTACTCGTGTTATGCGAAGGAAAATAGAATCTTATCTTTGATCATGGGATTTTCTGTGGGTTCAAGTTTTCAATGCAACATTTTACTGCGTGCACACTTCATGCTCATTATGGGACTATTTTTCATAAATGTGTCTTGCTAACTTGAATAATAAACTAACATACTTACACTCCTCAGATTACCTTCTGACACGTCAACCTCTGCCATTTGTACTTAATGTTAAAATTATTATTTATTCATTGCAACACTAAAATTAGAAAATCTGATAAAATATGAGCGTTTATGGCATGTATTGAATGCATTAAATTGATTTTTCCACCACCACGTTTGATGTTGTTTGCATTAATTGCATTTTGCATTAGTGGCATTATTTGTAGTTTGCTGCAAAAATTTGTTGTTTGCCAAAAAAACCGAAACCTCGACATTCCTGTAATGGATGACCGGTTTCTGTCCGATCATGTCCAATGTATGTATTAATGTATTTGAATCGAGTTGATATTTAAGAGGAAGAAATGTTTATTACCGAGGAATATTTACAATGATGCAAAAATTTCCAAACTCTAATAAAATACTTATCCGGTGAACTTGACCTCCCAAAAAAGCAGCAATTCATGAACAATATGCTAGGTAGGCTACTTCATTGATTACATATTGACATATTTACATGTGTAAATAAGTACATAGTTAGATTGTAAATTTCATTCCCATCTTCCCCCACGCCTTCGAACTTACGCATCTGGCCCACACATGCTGAATCACACGCAAATGTGCGTATGAGAAGCGGACCCACAACTTATCTTGAACCACGGTTATCCTTCGGAAAACTAATTTCGAGTTACGCATATTTTAAAATGTTCCAATCAGTCAATTGTATGTCGTTGCTGCGTAGTAATAACATAGGGATTTATGCACTGGATATATCTACATATTTATATCCACAAATAGCTATATACATACTTTTGTACTTTTAAAAAATTTCGCAAAACTTTTTTTATAAATAATATTATTTATAAAAAATGCTAAGAATGGACCGAATAATATAATAATTATGAAAATATGAATCGATAGAACTGGTGACGATATATATACAATCGCCAAATTTGCACGGTGCAAATAAATACGTAAATATATGTATCACATTTATCCGTTTTGTGTGAGAATAACCATCCCTGTGGTAACGCAAGTAGGATATTCCGACTTCGCTAATGGTTCAACATTTCTTATCATGAGGCCAAGGTAATAGTAATAAACTGGAATTGTTGAGGGGAATACATTCTCGCGAGATAAGGTTGTCATTTTGATTAATTTAATGGCTCTTATTTACTGCTCAATGGCTTTGGCGGATCTTCATGCTATCCAGTCATGGAATTTTCTATTACAAAACTTACTGTTTGTTTGCTCAAATACTTGAAGCTCGGTGTTACGCAAGTTCTCATATATGCAAATATGTACAAAGGGATGCAAGCGTACGAATGATGTAATTTTTGTCAGGCCGCAATTTGGCATGTTTTATAATTTCGACAATTTATGTAGGTATCCTCCCCTAGAAATTTCAGACTATGTATCATGGAAATATTTAAAATGACTGTTTTAAATACATACTTAATATTTGCGGTATGACATTTCCAAAGCCAGGATTTTCGAAACCTGACAGTTTCTTTAAGCGAGTTGTGATACAAAATATGTACATACATATGGTCCATCCAGAAAGTATAGAACAACGGCCAATGCTAATAATACCAAAAGGATAAATGGCCGACCTCGCCATAAGCAATAACATGTAGAGTTTGAAAATTCACCGTACGGTCAGTTCTTGACCGATTTTCAAAATTCCGCCCGTTTTGGAAACATTGAACCCTTGCGCGAAATATATAATTTCAGATTTTTGAAATTCAGCCCCACCCACCCGTAATTCAGGTCACAAGGTCAAAAAAGCAGGTAACATTTCTATATTGAATTTGAAATTTCTTTGACTGTTTTCGCAGGTCGTCGACGTAAATTCTTGGCGACAATGTCTGAAATAGTCAGGGCGTCGTATTGGCGAGTAGTTGGTCACACCCCCTGCTGTTGAGTCATTGTGGGGGCGGTCGAAACTTAAGTCACAAGAATTAAAGAGACAAAAAATTCCCTCCCAACATGGTTTCTGAGGTCGCCGCCGCGCATAATCGTACGCACGTCCCCGTTCTTAGTACTGTGACATTGTGGGTGGTCCCATGGCGACGGGGGGTGTGGCAATCAGCGCTTCTTCCAAGACCATACCCAAGCACGTCATGCGACATATCATTTTGCTCAGCTTGTCAAGGGGATTGCAATGACATAATTAGAAATTTAAAAACCACACCCCCTGTGGGTGTGGTCATTTTAGACTTTTCGAATTAAATTACTCCATGTCATGTGACATATCATTTGCTCAGCTGGATCATAGAACCTCATCGGAAATATAGAAATTCACAAACCACACCCCCAGTGGGTGTGGTTAGCAGCGACATTGCTAGGTTATTGAAACCATGTCGTGTGACATGTCATTTTTCTCAGCTGATTACGTCAATCACGACGACATAATTTAATTTCGAAGAAGTCACACCCCCTGTGGGTGTGGTTGTAGATTCACTCTGAATTTAACCAAACCACGTCATGTAATATGTCATTTTTCTCGCCATGCCAAGATGATTAAGGTGACTTAATTCAGATTTCAAAAACCACACCCCCTAGTTGCGTGGTTTTTATCCCGGCTCGCTACCGGCAAAATCAAATAAGGCCACATCATGCGATGCATTGCACACAACCACAATGATTGTATTAGAATTCTACTTTTGGAAATCGACTTATGAGGATCCATGGAGTGCATGTTCACTGAACGCCATGTCCCTTTGTGGCAGTCGCCAGAGGTCAACCCAGCAAGTGGGCTGTCAATTTTAAGCTCTCGTCAAGTCTATATTTTCTGACGTGGTTTGGTTAAATTCAGAGGGAAGCTACAGCCACACAGGGGGTGTGACTTTTCGAAATTCAATTATGTCGTAGTGATTGACGTAATCAGGTGAGAAAAATGACATGTCACACGACATGGTTTCAATAACCTAGCAATGTCGCTGCTAACCACACCCACTGGGGGTGTGGTTTGTGAATTTCTAATTATGTCATTGCAATCCCCTTGACAAGCTGAGCAAAATGATATGTCGCATGACGTGCTTGGGTATGGTCTTGGAAGAAGCGCTGATTGCCACACCCCCCGTCGCCATGGGACCACCCACAATGTCACAGTACTAAGAACGGGGACGTGCGTACGATTATGCGCGGCGGCGACCTCAGAAACCATGTTGGGAGGGAATTTTTTGTCTCTTTAATTCTTGTGACTTAAGTTTCGACCGCCCCCACAATGACTCAACAGCAGGGGGTGTGACCAACTACTCGCCAATACGACGCCCTGACTATTTCAGACATTGTCGCCAAGAATTTACGTCGACGACCTGCGAAAACAGTCAAAGAAATTTCAAATTCAATATAGAAATGTTACCTGCTTTTTTGACCTTGTGACCTGAATTACGGGTGGGTGGGGCTGAATTTCAAAAATCTGAAATTATATATTTCGCGCAAGGGTTCAATGTTTCCAAAACGGGCGGAATTTTGAAAATCGGTCAAGAACTGACCGTACGGTGAATTTTCAAACTCTACATGTTATTGCTTATGGCGAGGTCGGCCATTTAGCCTCCCGAGAATTCCCTTGCTCAGTACTTTCTGGATCGACCATAAATCGTTGTGGTGAGTCCAAAGTTAATCTGTGTCTCATGGGTTTTGCATGAGTTGGATCTACTTATGTCACGATATATTCTATTTAAGTCACAGTTGAAGTGTGTAAAGTGTCAGTATCATTGCAGACTTTGCACAGATATTCATACATTCCGGCGGCTCCGCCACCCTTCTTCTATACCCGTACTAAAATAAATTTCAAAAATAAGATCAGCCAACTTGCGAAACGAATAAAACCATTGCTATGTAGTTTATGCTAAAATATTTTTCTGCTTGCTGGCACCCGTCGAACCCGGGGAAGAGGACCGGTCCCTCCGATTATTTGGGTATACACACTATATTTGGGTATATACAATTTTCGTCCTCTGAAAATTTTAATTGAATCGATTTATTGCTTATTTATTTATGTATGTATTTATTTTCCTCACGCGTAATTTAAGCGAGGAAAACGGATTTTCTTTAAATTTTATTTATTTATTTATTTATGTAATATATATGCAACAGGCAAAAAATGGCACCCAAGAGACAAAACGTCAATCTACCGTTAATAAATGTATGTCATTTTTGGTACGAGGCTTCTTTAGCTAGAATACTATAAAAAATTGTTGCTCAAAGAGTTAGTTTTAGCACTACGATCAAATCCGATATTAACAATATTAAATCACTTTGTATGCACTTTAGTACATCAATAAGTTTTTCGTATGTATAGTAAACTAACGAGAGGCGTTTTTTTTCGTTTCGTTTGAATTACAATGACTTGCTATGTTATCAGGCGAAGATTTGCAATTAGTCTTAAATTTGAGCAGGTGTAATCAGTGAACGAGAGTTACATACGTTTAGAACCATCGAAATCATAGTTTTGATAATTTTAGAACTTTAATTTTAGACCAGAATTTCCAAAATTGTACATGCACAGTTGGAGTTAAGATTTACAAAAAGAGGGAAATATGTATTTGTGAAAAATTTTTATTTTAAGGATTCGGATTTAAATATTCCAATGTTATTCCAAATTTCTTTTCAAACTGCGTGATTACGAGAGTTCCCCTAACTAAATACGCCCCCTGAACTAA